ATAGAATAGGATAGGATAGGATAGGATAGGATAGAATAGAATTTATTCGCTCATGTAGTTGAAAGTTCACAGCTTTTGCTAATAGTACAGTAAATGAGGGTTTTTAGTATATGTTTATATATATAATTTTGTACATAATTAAAAGCATTGAGCCTGAGGGCTAAGGAAGGATTTAAACTGGAAAACTTACCAAGTTTTCATAAAAGTCTTTGGGAAGTTTGGAGAGAATCTCAACAGCATCCATCATTTCATAAGGATCAATGTCCACCTCAGCATCTTCACCTTCATCATCATCATCACCACCGCCTGTAACAGAAAAGATATGAATCCTTTGATTATGCTAGGAATTTTACAGTATTTACTTGTTTAAGAGCTGCTCCCGTTCACCCCCCCCCCCCCCCCCCCCCCCCAAAAAAAAAAAAAAATCAAAAATATTCAATAATAATAATCAATCTCACTTTACTAACGCGGACCTCCCCCCCCCCCCCCCCCCCCCCAACCCATAAAATAAGCCATGAAGTAGTGCCTGATAGATATTGCATTTTGCATATAGTAGTAGTGCAGTCAATATGAAATACGTATCAATAAATTCCGGACATGACTACATCTATAATTTCAGAACCATGCAATTAACAATCAAAAAAGAAAGTCAAGACGTTTTCAAGGAGTTTTGCTAAAATTAAAGAGCTTGAAAACGTTATTTAAATTCAAGTAGTTTTCAATGAGTTTTGCTAAAATTAAAGAGCTTGAAAACGTTATTTAAATTCAAGTAGTTTTCAATGAGTTTAAGAATTAGCATGCTGTTTTCATGAACAGCACAAACCCCTCTAGGATGACCATGAAGGATGACACAATACTTTAGTAAAGAAAAATATTACACCACTAGTATAATTCTCATTAAATATTAGGCCAATAGTCCTTTTTACAGTTCTATTCAGTGACCACGAATAATAGTTCCTAGCCGAGGCTGGAGTTTCTGTGCATAGCAAAACTACAGTTTATCACGCAYGGTAACTCCAGCCTCAGCTAGGAACTATTATTCGTGGTCACTGAATAGAACTGTAAAAAGGAGTATTAAATGTACATGTAAATTAAATATTAGGCCAAATTTAGTTAAATTATCCATTGCTCAAGGTCTTACCATCTGCGGCATCATCACCTTCRGGTTCCACGCCCTGCCCTTGTTCCTCTTCTAGTTTCTTCTGCTGCGTTCTGGTTAGTCTTGTTGGTGGAGGTGGTTTGGGAGGTAGACTGGCCCATTCATCCTCTAACTCTTTTAACTTTGTTAAAAAAAAGTAAAAAAAAGATTAGTAAGTCTAGACACTTTTTAATTTTTATTATTTGCATCATTTTGCTAGAAATACCACTTAGCACCTGAATCGCCAGGGCACAGGTTCAAATCCCGCTCAAGTTGCTCGATATACTTCACAAATCAACCCAATTAGATACATTGGGATTTTTTCTGAGTCTTATAATTAGCAGCTGCATAAGTTGCTGATGCACAAGTTGCTT